TCTAGGCAGTACGTAGTATGTAATACTAATGGTGGACGGATAGACGATAGACAGAGCAAAATAAACAATGGTGGTAACATAACTTGCTCATGCACCCATCCATCAGCTGGGCTTGTTTATGATTACTTGCATCTAGCGGTTGTACTATGCCTAATCTGTTGCTGTCGCAGAAGGTCAAAGCGACTGAACAAGATTTGAGTAAGATGGGATGAAAGGAAGAGAGAAGAAGAAAAAAGGTCCGGATCAGACCTAACCCAGACCTGGTAGCATCGTGATCTTCTGGAAGCGCAGCAAATGCCGTTTGCGGTCTGCACGCCGGAAAATAAACAAGACTGGACCTGCATATTATTTATCTTGCCCAAGCAAATCTTGGAATATTGCTGTCCGTTCTTTTGCTCAGTCCGGCATCTGGAAATGCAAGGTAGGCTCATCGCAATCTCGACATGCACATCGGCCAGGTAAATTGAGCCGAACCAGACTGTGACCAAGTCACCTAATGAGTGACTAGACAAACTACTTACATTACCTAGCCAATCTAGAACAAGTGCTAGGGGATGATGCTACTCGTAGGTGGCTGCTGAATCCGTATACCCAGGTACATACACAGTAGTTTTGAGGAAAATCCTATGATTGCTCATTTCCCAAAAACAACCCTGAAGGTGCATAATTTGCAGGAAGCAGCAATGCAATCGTGATATCACGATGTTGCTGCAAGTCCGGTCCTGATCAAATTTCATGTCATGTACGGACGGGAAGCATGGGCAGGGCAGGGCGCTACACACGTACATACAGGTAATGTAAGCGGCAAGTTCAGGAAGCACAGTCAATAACCCAGAGTAGTGGATTTGCGGGAGTGCATTGGGATTGTGGATTCTTAGTTTAGTGTATTGTTTTGGCAGCAGCCAGTGGTCGGCGCTGGTTTCCTATTGAGCATCTAGATCAGCCTTTTTTTGCTTTTTCTTTTTCCTTCCCCTTCCTCGACTCCTGCACAAGCCGTCAAGGGCCAAGGAAATTTTCGCATTCGTTCGGCAGAAACGTCCTTGCACAATTCTCCATTCTATTGCAGCGGTAACAGCAGCCGCAGCATTCCTTGTTAATGACTCTCTTGGCGCTCTTTTTACTGCTCGGCGGTTTTTGCGTGTCTCTACAGGCTACTGTGTACTAGCTGCTAGGTATGTAATGTGCTGTATGCATGGCTGCTCACATTGTACTTCCACAGGCCTATGGATAAAATGATGAGTATTGAATGCGCAGTGACAGCCAGATGCAGCAATATCATCAAAGTAGAGAACAACCGAAATGAATGGACCAGGTGCTATGAACCTTGTGAACCTAGAAGAAGAGAAGAAGAAGCAGAAACCCTGGGCTTGGGCCCTGGTCCAGCCCAGTCCGGGGCGGACGGGCAACGGGCGCGACAGCCTCACTTCTCCCTCCTGCCTTCGCGGCCTCGCGGGCTCATTGGCTCGTCGGGTCACGAATCCTCTTGATTGCGAGGCTGCTGCATGTAACGCTGGGCATGACTGACTACTACCACTGCCCACAGTCTACTGCCTGCCAGTGCCACCATCCAAGCCATCCACCCACACCTACAATCCACTATACTGTTGAGCTTGGTTCGCTTCAGGCCAATCGAACATGTGGTCCTACGCTGCGGTAGAGCAAAAAATAATCGCCCGTCTGCAGCCTCGAAAGTCGGCGCTGCCTCCTGCTATTTGTTGGGGGCGACGAGTCGGAAGAGGCCTGATGATGGAGAGCAGAGCAAAGCTTGGGCGATATGTGGCGACCAGCCAGGCAAGGCAGGCAGGCCCTGTATACTGCAATGCAATGCATTACCTGCCCCCCGTCATCCATATTTTTCTTTGCTTTTTTCCCTTTGCTCTGACCAATCCTTTGATGCAGCACCAGCGGCTGGGCCTGTCGCGCTGACTGAGTGACTGACAAAGACTGACTGGAGTAGGTAGGCGAATGCGGCAGGCAGACGAAGCAGGCAAACAATCGTGTGCCAACCTACATTACCTAGCACCCAAGCCAAGCTGGAGCCCAGTTTGCCAGTGGCTCTGTTCAACGGTCCTGCTGTCAAATGCTCCATGATCCATGGATGGCGGGCAGCCACCAAAAGGTCTGGGCCATTCACGGGCAACGCAACACCACCATCCCAGAGAGCCGACAGCGTCTCCCCTACCTGTTCCTGCCGGCCGCCTTTCCAAGATCCGTGATGAATGCTACTACATACAACCGTGCCTACCGATCCCCTCCCCCTGTACTCAGTGACACAGACCACATTCAAATCCATCTTGCTCAACGGTCTCGTTTTGCAACCAGCACTACACACACTATCAAAGAAAACATCGAATGACGGTTACGTACACTTGCAGAGTCAGAGCCATAAAGTAATTGCGTATGCTGTCGCTGTGACTGGCTTGTGACTCAAACGTGCACCTACACAGTACAAGCCCGCTGTGTGGCATTCAAGGTCTAGCTACGAGGCAGATAGTCAGACAAAATGCATTCCGGCGCGACGTCAGCGCTTCTAGCCGTGTAATGGCAATCTCTGGTCGGACCCGTCCTCTGCTAAGTCACAAACACCAGAAGCTTGTCTAGACCCGTCACCGCTGTTAGCAGACTATCCATGGCATCTCAGGAGTAACCAAAGGTTGCTCCCGAATATGATCGCACAGGTCAGATTGGCCAGCGATGCGTGAGACCGCAGTAGGCAATCGTCCCGTCAATAATGCAACGATCTGCACCCGCGACGGTGCCCAAGGGAATGACACCAGACGAGACAAGCTAGCGGCTAAATCAAAACCTGCACAATGGCAGATCCTCAGTCATAACAACACATGGTCCAATCAAGGACTGGAGTGAGACACGAACGGAGACAGCTATTCGGTCGATCTTGCACAGCAGCAGCAGCGCCTGCACCGCAACCGACCAGCACTACTCCTACTCCCAGGCATACTATAGTAGTAGAGTGGCCTACTGCAGTGGCCCCGTCGCATTGAATCAACAGGGCACGACGCAGCTTCTGCGACAGCAAAGGGTCGGCGGAGGCGACCGGACTGTGACTGTGCGCGGGAGTCTCAGTCTCCAGCAGCCAAGCAGCAGCACATTCGCCTGGCAAATTCATGCGCTCGCCGTCTGCGCTGCGTTTGCAAAAAGCTTAAAAATGGAAACCCACAAACAAAAATGACACACGGACCACTGGCTCGTCTGTCAAGATATGCCACAGCCGAAGGATGGCCTGGGCTTATGACCACTGGGGCCCTTCTGCGACCAGTGTCGCCGTCGGTGCTTCGTCCGCGCTACATAGCAGTATTTTGACGTGTCGTTTGACCCCAAATATCTGCCGCCAAAAGAGAGTTTTGCCAAGAGCGAGAGGTCTGTCACTTTGCCTGGTACTGGTTGGCTGGGGCTGGGACGCCAATGGGAATCGTCGCCAGCGGACAGCGTCATCCGTGAGATATGATGGGATCCAAGAGCCAAAAGCATCCCTGCCACCAGACAATCTATCTACCTAGCCACTATGAGATAGCACGAATTGGGTTGTCGTCGTTGTCGTGCTTCTGGAAGCGACAGGAAGAGTCGATCCTCCCAACTCCTAATGAGATGTGGACACAGGCACATCTTGCCGCCCAGCACTTTTAGTGTTTTATGATTTTTTTTTTTATTCTTGCTCATCAGCCGGGACAGTCCCTCTCATCCTAGCGAAATCCAGCTCGTCCACCACTTACGGGCACGGGTACCGGAAAGGCAAGAAGCAAAACCATGCGAGTCACGGGCCCGTCAATAATGACGATTTGCCCGGACTAGGCCAGCGGGCGAACCAACGAGATGAGAGAAGCGGAGTATGGGCAGCCACACCAAATACTTCACTCCATCGACAAGATCACACGCACGCCCCTTTCTTCCGCCCGCCGCTGGATCACTCGCTCGCTCGACATGCTTGCTGGCTGGGCTGGGTTGGCTGGGCTGGGGGGCAAGGGCTTCTGCTGCTGCTTGCTTGCTTGCTGCGGGCTGTGGTGTGCCGTTAGACGTTGAAAAAGGCCGTTCCCGAATGATGAAGGGGGGAGAGGGGCGTTCATCACGAAAGACCACCCCTCCCCTCCAACCCTCGGCGGTCGATGTGGACCACTTATTTACGTGTGTCAGACAATCCTTGCCTCTTCGTATATACCTGTGCTTGTCCCATATCGCTAAGCGTCACAGTAAAATCTTGGCCCATGTGCAGGCTGCGCATCCTTACCTTTCTAGTGGACGCCCCAGAAGTACTGGGATCCATTTCATATCCACACCTCCCTTGTCCTGCGTAGGTCCTGGGAAGAGTCAACCATGTTAGCCCGGCGCCCTCCTACCTAGCGGCACCGTCGAAAATTAAGAATAGCGCATGCCATGTACGTATTGAGGTGGGACGAATAGTGCCAGACTATTAATCATGGTAGCCTGTAGATTCTGAGCCAAGGCTTGCCGGGGTCTGCTTGAGCCACTCAAACACGTAGTCTGCCACCCCTGCCCGTACAGCGGTTATCGAATCTCCAATATCTACATCACTCTACCCAGCGCTGCATCTCGATTTGACCTCACCTCGATTCACCACATTCATTGCAATATCCTTTTTCTTCCCTCTCAGCAACTACCTCCCCCCAAAAGTTCAAAGGAGTCCTGTCTCCTCCGTCGCCAAACCAAACCTCACCTCGATTCACCTCAATCAACATCTCTACCCACCGCCGGCGACAACTACCAAGGACTGTTTGACTCGTTTGTTCGACGTCGACATCCTCACAGCGAACCACTCAAGGGACTTATACGAACCAAAAAGGATATACCAATAACTATTTTCTCTTCTCTGCCAAAGGAATTACCAGGACTTTCCTTTGCTTTGGATCCGGATACCGTCTAGTAGAAGGCTGTTTCCTCCTTTCTCGTTACTGTTTGTTCTTCTTGCCTAGACTCCAAAAAAGCCGTTTGGAATTTTCCCACCCAGGATTGGACCATCATATACCATGCAGAATGTGCCAGTTTACGGATATCCCACGCCTCCGGCTTCACCAGCATACGACAGTCAGAAGTGTGCCTACCAACAACAACAACCCTTTGCCGTCCCACCGCCAGCTTGCCAGCCTCGCTACACCCTTAGACCGGAGGATAGGTTAGGGAAGTTTCTCGGCGACAGCCTCCAGCTGGTTGGTATCATTGGTACCGGCGCATATGGAGTTGTCTACACTGCCATTGACATCCGGACTGGAACACGGTATGCCGTCAAGACCCTGAGCAAGTACAATGCCGAAGGACTCCCACTCGACCAGCGACAAATTGGCTTCCAGCAGAGGGAATTGCGCCTGCACTACCTGGCTTCAGCCCACCCCAACGTTGTTTCCATGCTCAAGATTGTGGACGACCCGGATTGCACCTACGTTGTCTTGGAGTACTGCCCAGAAGGAGACCTGTTCTACAACATCACCGAGTGCGGCCAATATGTGGGTAAGGACGATCTTGCCAAGGATGTCTTCCTACAGATTCTGGACGCCGTCGAACACTGCCATGCTCTGGGAATCTACCACCGAGACTTGAAGCCGGAGAACATTCTTGTCACGAACCAGGGCGCAACCGTGAAACTTGCAGACTTTGGCCTGGCTACTTCGTCTGACCGATCCGAGGATTATGGATGTGGCTCAACTTTCTACATGTCGCCTGGTATGGTTACTCTCTACCCACGTTGATGTAATACTGGAACTCTTGACTGACATTCCTTATTATAGAATGCCTTGACCCCTCATCGAGAAGGCCGTTTTACTACTGCGCCCCCAACGATGTATGGAGCCTGGGTGTCATCTTGGTGAACCTGACCTGTGGACGCAACCCTTGGAAGCAGGCCTCTTTCGAGGATTCTACCTACCGTGCCTTTACGAGAAGCTCTGATTTCCTCAAGACGATCCTTCCACTGTCGGACGAACTCAACGACATCCTGGGAAGGATCTTCACCCGCAACCCAGACCAAAGAATTACGTTGTCTGAGCTCAAGAACCGCATCATGGCTTGCCAACGGTTTACTGTTCAGCCCCTTGCTACCCAAGTCATGCCCACTCCCCCGGCCTCCCCAGAGCCCTCCGAGTATGCATATGGCGAAGCTCCTGCTAGCGACCTGGTCTACGGCGCACCTCTTTCCCCTGCCTCGTCCGATTCGGATGGCGAGTCTACTTGCTCGTCTGACGATGGATCGTTGACCTCCAGTGTCTCCACCATTGACGACCTTGATGACGATGAGGACTTTGTCCAGGATGAGAGCATTCCTCCCCAGGTGTCTCAGGAGCCGCAAATGTTTGACCAGGAAGCCGCTCAGGTGTATGCTCCAGAGGCTGTTCCTCAGTACGCTGGTTGTGTCGCGAATCCATGCCAGCCCTGCCCGGTGCCGGTGTCGACTCCCATTCATGCCTATGTACCAAAACTTCAGGTTCCATATTTCCTGGGCCGGTTCAAGGAATACGTGCAACCTAGTGTACCACTACACCATGTTGCCGCCTACCACCATCCTGTGCAACTGTTTGGCAACATCCAGGGCTGCTACTAGGATGGACTTACTACTATAATCTTTTATTACAACAAAACGGGCGCCAGCTCACTCATGATTACGACTTCATTTCAAATACATATTCGAAAAAAAAAAGCCTTTCGGCAGGAGAAACAGGACGCGGATCTACGACAAACAAAATTACTTAAAACGGAACGGAAAAAAGATGCGCGCGCCCCCTCTGCTTGGAAAAGTCTGGAACTCTCCGCTATACGGTTTCAAAACTTGTAAAGTCACCAAAAATCATGTTATTTCATTTGTCCAAGCGAGGAGTTGGTGTACAGGATTTATGGAAGATGGCTTTTTATGTCCACAAAGATATCGGTTCGCCATATTCTTTTTTTTTTCCCCAGAGTGGAATGGCCAGAGCATTGTTCAAGGGCGCATGGCATACACCATTTTTCTGGTTTATATTCTGCTATCTGTTTTAATTTGGGGGTTTGTTTTCCGCGAGCGCGGATTGCATTTAGAGGGGATTATTCTGGTGGAAGACTTTCGCTTGGATGATACCATACAGTTTTTCATTTGGGGCCCGGGGTTCTATTCGGAGCGGTTTGAACAAATTTTTTTCTTCTTACGAGCCTCGACAGATGGAGGGAAACAAAAAGGTTACGGGACATGAGAACATAGACGGCGGCTCAACAGCCAAACAGCGGCTACAGTCAGCAGAAAGACTTGACGCAGCATTACGTTGACCCCTGGTGGACACCCTCAACCTTTTCTCGAAAGGTTGCGTGGGTGATCCCCTATGGGAATGAGAGGTATATTCACAAAGGGATAGAATCTGCATTACCCAAAAAAACAACTCAATACAATGTTTGAGCATTCGTTTTGCTCAACTTGAAGTTACAAACAACATTTCGGGTTTTTGGACCACCTTCATCATTGTGCATTATGTGATCTGTCTCTTGACATCAGCCTGCTTATTGCAAAAGCCCGGAAACCCTTGAATTTTGAATGACTTTATTTATTCACATCGCAACCTTGTTTTGGCCTTGGGATGTCTACAATTAGGTCAATGATCACCCTTTTAGGCTTTAATCGGTCTCAACGCAGAAGACGCCACCCCGTCCATCTGGTTTGAGACTGCTTTTTTTTTTTAACTGTAAAGAAAAGCATTGTATCATGATCGCTCGAGTTCTCGGAGGGGGGGG